GAAGAACTCTTTTCAGGGGTAAGAAACAGGCATGTGACAAATACTGGCCTGACATTTTGAGTCATCTGGTCTGCTCTGAGGACCTTGGCCACTCAGCTGGGCAGGGGAGGTAGAGAAGGGGCAGGGATGAAGAGAGCACGGTGGAGACAGGGAGTCCTTGGAAAGGGCTCACCTTGGAGACCAATTCTGCTGATCACCTGGCTTTATGAATGCATTTCTCCTTTGTAGGAATCCCTTGCTGTTAAGAGAAAGCAGTCAACACATTTCTAATTAGCCTTCAGCCCCTGCAATCCTATTATTCCCAAAGGCAGCAGCTGGGTCATTTCATGATCAGTAAGAACATTTGTAGTTCCTGTAGTTCTTCACTAAAATCTGGCTCATTCCTACTCTGACTTCTGATGGGACCACAGAGGACTTTCTCACCTCCTCATCCTGCAGCAGCAGGGTTTTGGCCCCTAGCTTGGGGAAGGGGCGTGCTGCCCCTGGGGAGGCCCTGTCAGGGAACCCGGGTTACTCAGTACATCACTCAGAGTGAGTCTGCACATAGCAAGAACTGCTGCTTTGCTCTGGGCTCTAGTCCTGCACCTGTGTCTCTCAGGCTAGGCTTGAGAAGTGTATGGTGCACAGTTACCCTACCCATCTTCTCCCCTCCCTCCTACTATCAACAAATACTTCATGAGCATGTCCTTTTTGCCGTTATATGCCACACACTGTTCTAAGCACTGGGGGAGACAATGATGAAGAAAACATAAAAGGGCCTCTGCCCTCATGGAGCTTACACTCCAGTGGCAGAAACTGACATAAAAAGCCATGGTCACCAGACAAATAGGAGAATGATGACTAGTAAGACCCTCTGAGTTCCTTTGAAAGAGCAAGGTCCTCTCCTTGATCCATAATAGCTTATAGAAACTTAGCTTGTAAATAACTTCCTTTGACACACTGGTGCATTAAGTGTAGTCAGCTGGCAGTGGGCAGCATATGAGCCCCTTGATGGCTGGGTGACTGTGTGGCATACATCTCTTCATCTGTGAAATGGAGATGGCTGCACCTTCCTCACCAAGCCGTGACTGTTCTGAGGAAGGTGCTCATCAGCGCAGGGCCTGTGGTGTGGTGACATATGTTCTGTTCCTTATCCCTGCCTCCTTTCCTGCTTAGAGCAGACATGGGGGCCTAATCAGTTCTCCCCACCCACCTTCTGGGCCCCTGCTGCAGCTGCAGGTGGGCAAGAGGCTTTTGAGCTCACCCAGAGTCTCAAGGGTGATGGGTGTGCTGGCAAGAAGGGACACCCAGCAGAGGCGGGGCCCTGTACTCTGCCCCTCCCCTGCCCTCTCCAGCCAGCTCAGCAGAGGCTCTGAAGAGGCAGTCTCCCTCCTGTAGCCCAGGACACTCACCCTTGCTGCACCGTGGGTGTGGCTACAGAGGCCTGTCTGGGGTCTGTTCTCCCTCATAGCACTGGAAGGGCACTCCCCACATGTGCCCTGGAAAGGCCCTGCAGGAGACCCCTCACCCCAGCAGTCAGCCAGGGTGCCAGCAAGAGTGGGCCTCTAGGGGATCTGGTGGGTACCAGACACTGGATTTTACCTGCTTGATTTCACCCTACCTTTTCCAACCATGCTACAAGTTGAGGACTGTCAGTGTCCTATTTTACAGTTGCAAAAACTGAGGTTAGGAAAGGCTAAGAATTTGCCCAAGCCACTCTCCTAATATGACATAACCAGTATTTGATCAGGTTGTCCTTCTCCAGAGCTAGGGTCATACACCGAGCTATATTCTTTTCCCCTCTTAGTCACCCTACTTCACAAAGTCCTCGCATCAAATGCACAAGGACAGAGAGATCCTGGGGGCTTGGGGGCACCAGGCACATGGCACTTTGCCCAGCTTACCTGAGTACTGGCTTCTGTAGCTTTAAAAGAAAAGGAAACCATGCTTGAGAGCAATGCCAAAAGGAGAAAATGCCCAAGGAACTGGAAGCCCAAAACAGGAAGTTGGAGGGGCCTCAGTCATCTCTCTGCATCTCTCCTTTCACAGAGGAGAAGACAGAGGCCCAGAGGGAAACATTAGGCCCCTGCACACTGAACTTGTGGTCTCCCTGCAGACTGCCCAGCTGGCTCCACAGCCCTGCACTGGTGCCCAGACACACGCATAGGGGATGGACTTAACCCAGCCCCACACTTACCTCCTATATGAATCTTGGCAATCAACAGCATCACTGAGCCTCAAAGTCTTCACCTGCAGGCTGTTGTTGCTTTAGAGATAATGCATGCGAGATGCTGGCACAGTAGATGGCACCTGCTAGGTTCTCTGTGAACTACTGCTATTATTATCACTCTTGTTTTCTAAGTTCAATGAATGTTAGGCAACACTAAGTCTCTTCATTCTATGTCACTTTCATTCTATGGCTCTACTGGAACCATTCCTAGGACCAGAGAGGAAACAACGCTCACTGTCATCTCTGCACAATGAAATCTATCTCAGGAAGGGCTGAGGCTCACCTCAGTACCTATTTGGGACTAGAATCTGGAAGGAAGACCGTGGGCTGGAGCTGAAGTGGCAGCTGCTAGTTCTCCACTTTTCTGGTGTGCTTGTGGCTTGAGGCCCACCACTCAGCCTCTATGTCAAATTTCTGTGGGTGAAATGACCATGGTAATAACCTGCCCCCATATCTCAATTCCCTTCCCCCAGGGAAGTTTATTTTGTGCATCCAAGTAAAGGCTTTCTGTGGAGTCCAGCACCATCCAGAGAGGCTATGCTCCTCTGGGGTTTTTCTGGTGGTAGGGGCGAGGGAAGTCTTTTTGGAACAGAGCTACTAGGCAGGGACAGTTTGGTGCAGATGTGTAGCATCCTCACCACTGAGCCCTGGGGAGTAAGGAGTGAGACTTATAGAAACTCTGTCAGCAGCACTTTCCCTTCCTCTCCTCATAGAGTCCTCTTTCTGGAGCCATCAACCTGCATCTGCCTCATTTCCACTGGGAATGGTCTGGTTTCATCCCCCATACCTTGAGGTGAGGCCAGAGCCTCTTACTAGGGGTGGATGTGATGGCTTTGGAGCCTCTCACCTGGCTCTCCCAAGACCAACTAGACATGCATAGACTAGGCTGGGATGAATCCACCTGGTTGATCCGAGAGCTGATGTGGAAGTGGGGATACCAGGAGTTCTCTGATATTTTCTTGTCTAGAGATGACTGTGGGGCCTGATTCCTAAGGAACAAGGTCTTCCTGGCCTCACACACAGGACCTGGTTGCTGAGTCTGCCCCCTGATCGCTGCGGGAGCCAGGCAGTGGCTTGACAGTGGTTTCTCCATCTATGGAAACGAACCATTGCCCGTACTGCAGTCTAAACTCCTCAGGCAGGAGAGACCTGGGAGAGAGAGCAAGACTGGCCCACTGCTCCAGAGCCAGTGGCCCCTCCGCATCATCTATTGTTCCTGACCACCAGACAGTTCACACCCCAGAGTCCTTGCTATTTTTACCCTCTCTTTGTGAGAACTTCTTTTCTGAATTCCCTTCTTTCCAGGCTCACATGCTGGACAGGGCCACCCTGAGGCATGGCGGTGTCCTGGTGGTTAGTCTTCTGAGTGAGGAACAGGGAACTGCAGTTGCAACAGTGAGTGACCTTTCTGCAGCACAAAACCCATTTGAGTTTTCTTCCATTTCACTTCATGCCAACAGAAATGAGTATCTAATATATGTGCAGTTCAATCCTGAGTACCGGAGAAATGGGAATGAGTGGTGCTGATGGGGGTGGTTGGGGAAAGCCATGAGCTGTGACCTCCCCATCTGCCTGATTCCAAAGACAGCTTCATTAACAGGTGGGGACCTTAGGTGGGCCTCAGATGAGCCAGTGTCCAGCAGCACAAGAAGCAACCCTTACCAACTCTGCCCCTGGCATTCAAGTGTCTCTTGAATCCAGACTCCCTCAGCCCGGCTAACTGCAGCTCCCACCACATCTTTCCCAGCATCCTGGGCCCCAGCAGTGCTGGGCAGCTCCCTTCCTTGAACACATCAAGTACTTCCATCCTCTGGACCCTTGCTCAGGCTATTCATGCAGTGATACCCTGCCTGTCCCTTAATAATTTATCCACTGTCTGTGAGTAGCCTTCCCCAAGACCACCTTGCAGTACATTATTTCTTCCTCTGTGATTCCTGCTTGGTTTGTTCATTTAACATCTATTCATTGAGTTAAATTCATTCATTTAACATCACATCTGCTCTGTGCCTGACCCTATGCGGGTCTCCTAGAACTAGTGTAACCTTGCCTTCTGCCCAGAGTGACAGTCGTTCACACCAGGTTCTCATTTCCTCCAGGCTGGGGCAGAATCTCAATTTCAGTGTTTGTGTCTCTCACCAGTGTTTTGCACTTTGAAGAAAGTGTGTCGGATGGAAAGATAGCTTCTAGACTGGGCTCTGCTCACTAATTAGTCCGTGTGGCCTCGGGCGAATCTTGCGGTCTCTCTGGTCTCCCTTCTTCCTGTTGGAATATCTCAGGGCTGTCTAGGGCACAAGAGGAGGGGTGGGGGGGCAAGATCATTAAAGGTGGGAGCCCCAGGCCAGTGGAAGATGTGGGCTGGTTATACCTCCAGTCTCCCTTCGGTGGCTGTGAAGCAGCGTCCCTTCCCCTTTGCTCTGTCGGTTTCTCAAGTGCACCAGTTTCCTAACCCTCCTCGGGGTGGGCCCTCGGGCGGCTCAGAATCCTAGATGGGGAGGATTCCCGTGCAAACTCGAGACTCTCCTCCCGCCCAATCGTCCCTTCCCAACACACCTTAAACCCCGAGCCAGAGCGCAGTTCAGAGCGCAGCCCAGAACTGCAGCTCCGTGGAGCGAGCCCGGGCCGGGGTCGCGCATCTTCCGCCGCTGACTCAGGGCCGCACAGTTCGGGGGTGGGAGGAGGTAGGCGGGAGAGACCAGGGCCGCGCGGGGGCAGCCTCTGGGTGCTCAGTGGCCGAATGGTGGGAGCTGAGACAGGCTCTGGCCTTTTGCCATTCCGCCGCGGCGTCTGCCTAGCCGGGCCTCCCTGCCGCGCCGCTTCGCACCCGCCGCGCTCCTCTCCGGGTGCGCAGCTGCCGGGGCGGCCGGTGAGGGTTGGAGCGCGGGGCGGGCGCTTCGAGAGAATGAATGGGAGCCCCGGGTACGCGCGCGCTCTGGGCTGAAGGGCATTAGGACCGTGAGGATCGCTCCGCGCTCCTGTGTCTCTCTATCACCCCCAACCCCCCTCTTTCCCTTTTCTGCTCTGCAGGACTGAGCAGCCAGGCGCAAGCGAAAACAAACAGCTGGGGCTGCGAGCGCCCCCGCCCCGGCCGCCAGAGCACGCCGGCCCGGGCCCCTACTCGGGGCGCCCGCCCGCCCACCATGAGGAAGATCCGCGCCAATGCCATCGCCATCCTGACTGTAGCCTGGATCCTGGGTACTTTCTACTACTTATGGCAGGATAACCGAGCCCACGCAGCATCCTCAAGCGGCCGGGGCGCGCAGAGGGCTGGCGGGAGGCCGGAGCAGCTCCGGGAGGACCGCACCATCCCGCTCATTGTGAGTCCGCTCTGAGCGCCGGGCGACCGGCCGGTGGGGGGGGTGCGGCGTGCATCCTAGCCCCGCGCGGCGGCAGAGGGCGCGGGGCCGGGCCGGGGGCTGCGTGCCCGCCGCGCCCTGCAGGCTCTGTATACGCCTGAGCATTCCTGCCCGTTGTTATGGCAACCTCTGTCGGGCTAGCGGGCCCAGGGCGCACGGTTGGAGGGCGGGTGACAGCGGGTGGGGGCTGGGAGAAAGTGCTGCAAGTTTGGTGGGCCCGGCGTGCGCGCGCGACTGGGAACGTGGCGGCTCTCTCGGCCAGTGCGTCGCTGGGGTCGGGGGCCAGGGGCTGCCCTCGCCTTGCCATCCGCGGAAGGCTGCTGGACCTTGCGCGCAGCGAGCCAGCAGTGGAAACCGGGCGCTGTTGAGCGCGTAGGTGGCCGTAGGCACCCCCTCTTCAGCCTTCCGGGGGCAAAGGACGGGGGTGGGGTGGGGGCTCTGGGTAATTCAGAGTGGCTAGGGGCTGCACCCGGCGTTGCACCCCTTCTCAGCCCGGGTCAACTTGAACCTGTTTCCTTGGCACGGAGGACTCCACACTCACACCACGCTAGGTTTCCTGGGTCTGAGAAAGGTCTCATCCTGTACGCACCCCTCACCCCAACCCGAGGATCCATCGCGATGGGTGAACGGGCAGTGTCTGCGCTCAGGGTCGGAGATTCCCTCTCACGAGGTCAGTTTCGAGACATCAGTGCAAGCGGGGAAACAAAGGCTGCGGCGCAGGGCGAGGGCCTCGGCCGTGCTGCGGGGGCCTTTGGCGCTCCCGCGACCAGATCTGGGGCATGCGGAGACCCCGCCGCCCTGCAGGGGGCGTTCCTGCTGCCGCCTCTGCCCGGGCCCCGGGTGACAGCTCGGTGAGGCAGGGGCACCTGTTGAGGCCGGCGGCTTTGGGACCTGCCTAGAGGCGCGCTCGGGCGGGCGGGTTCTTGGGACACAGGAGGATGGTGCGTGAGAGCCTGGGGCGACCCTAGGGACGAACTGCTGGACGGGCGCAGCTTGGCTACAGAGGACCAGGAGGAGGAGGGAAAACAAAGTGTGGGGCTGGGAGTGGAGGGTAGGGGAGGGTGGCCACTCTGACGTGAAACCGGGAGGTGCAGGGTCAGGAGGGCGAAGGTGTGTGTGACGTGGAATCTGAGACATTTGTGCAAAGAGAGCTGAGCTGGAGGAATATGGTGGGATTGGTGCTCTCATGTCCGTCCTGCCTCAGATCCGTATCTCCTTACCCTTCCGGGAAGAAGTGGAGCTCCACTACAAAGGAAATATATTTCCTGGTTTCTCCTGAGGAGGCCTTTGGGGTTTGTGGGTTTCCCCTGGCCCTGCAACCCAATCCCCAAATCCCTGTCTGGTTGAACTTTCTGAGCCCAATCAGATGAAGTGTTCCCTTCTGGACTAAGGTTCTGTCACTAGGACACTGTTTCCAAAGCACATGTGGAGTTTGGACAGAAAAGCTGATGAGGAAAAAGCCTCCTGTAAAGATCCAGAGTGTTGAGATCTGGGTGCACTGACACATTGCAGCAGGAACCTGCCCAACCAGTAGTGGCCCCAGGCCCTCAGGGAGTTTCCATACCATGGACCCATCCTCGCTGCCGTTCTTACACCCTGACAAGGCCATCCCTGGTCTCAGGGTAGCCCAGGCCTGAAGTGGCAGGGGAGAGGCAGGCGGACCAGATGTCCTGTCCTTTTCTGTGGTGACATGATGGGAGGAGGGCCTGAGCTGGAAGGGGAGGAGAGGGGAGGGCAGGGGGGAAGGAAGGGAAGAGAGCCCAGAGAAACTGCTGCTCAGTGCCAGAGGCCAGCTCTCATCACATTCTGAAGCCTCTGTTTCAGAATCCTGAAGTTGGTCTCCAACTGCTCCCCTGCTCCTCTGAGCACCTCTGGGATCAGCCAGGAAGGCCACTCAGACTGAAAGCCCTGCAATGGTGTGGGTGGCACTCATTTTGAGGGCTAGATGTTGGAGGTCATGGGGGGTGGCTGCAGTGAGCATCCTCTTTCTCTCTCCTTGTTGCCAAGGATTTGACATGCTGTAGATTAGGAAAGGGCTGTGAACTGGAAATCAAGTTAAAAGTGTGAAGGAGTATGGGAGATCCCTGGGAGCCAGGGAGTGGGGGTACAGGAAGAGAGGGGGAGTGGGACTTCCTAGGGAGTGTGTACCAGAACCTTGCCTGGCCACCTACGGGCATAGCCAGCTCCCTCTCTTCTTAAGCTTTAGCTCGGGGTGTCTGCTCCATAGGCATTGGCCCCCAGTCAGATACCACCTTTGACACAGCCTTGCATTGTATGCCTGTCTTCTGAGGTATTTCCCTTCCACGGGATTCTCAGTCATCTGCTCTTCCTCCTCACTGGATGTAAGCTATCATGCAGGGACTGAGCAGGAAACTTCTTGCATCCCACATTGCTGCACATTACTTGTTAGGTGAGTAAGTACAATTTTTGTCCATCTCCAGGAGCAGCCAATGGTCCAAACTTCACAGTGTTTTGTTCCCAGGTCCAACCTGACTATAACTAAGGAGATAGGAAAATGTATGTTTAGCTTCTAGGAGTTGAACCCTTTGTCTAACCTAAAAGGGGCAAGTGCAGCTGAGAATTTGCTTTCTCTGTGAACTCTGTATTTAACCTCTCTTGGTTAAATTCCAAACCATGTGTATGTCTATTTGGGCCAGAATGCTGCATGGATTTTCAGATTCTTACGGAATGATGTGGCCAGCCCTGTTGCAGAGGCTGAGAACATTCAGACAAGCGTCATCATCACTCCCCTGGGAAATCAGAGAGCTGAGCTGAGAAAGGGAGGGTCTGCATAACAGCCTGGGCCAGGAAGCAGCCCTGCCCTCACAATGTCTGGGTTATTCGAAGCCAGCCAAGTTGTTTCTGGACCTTGGAGGCACTTGTTTGGCATTGTGGGGTGTTGGCATGGCAACCGTATGGCCCATGTTTCTCAGAGAAGTCCTGATTTTTAGAAGTCTGTCCTGCTGTCAGGCCATGTGTCACAAATTTTGGTATGAAAAATTGGTTATGGAATCTGTAAAACTAATGGGAGATACTGACTCCAGCCATCCCTAATTGGCTGCTAACAGTGTTCAGGGTTTGTGATTTTTTTTTTCCATGCTGTACTTTATAGGCGAGGTGGTGGATTTGGGGATATGCACGTAAATCTCTATTGATGCATGCTGCCACTGAACAGAAGCTGAGGTAGGAGGTGGAGCAGGCATGGCTGGCCTTCAGTCTTCAGGCCTCAGTCGGGAAGGACATTTGTGATTGGTTTTGTACCCAGGTTTTCCATCTGCGAATCCTCTAACAGGCATGAGTGTAATGCTAAGGTGTTACCCAGAATTTCACTTTATAGACATGTTTTTAAAAGACTGCGTTATTGGTATTTTCAGGATAGGTGTACTCATTTGCAACGTTTCCTATTTGGAACCATGAAAGTTTTAGGCAAGAGTTTTCCTAAATGGGAGTTTTTTTAATCCTATAATTGGGATACTGCTGACTAACCATGGACAAAATACTTACATCTCTGGATCTTAGTTAATTTATGTGTTAAATTTGGGTTAAATGATTTATAATGTTTGCTGATCCTTAGGTAAGCTGATGATAGCTTCATTTCTAGAAGTGACTAAAATAGCTCTAAGGGAGTTCTCCCAGAGGGTGTTGTGAGATTCCTGCTTGTGGAGGGATACACCCCGGTTAGGAGAAGGTCCTGCATAGCCCCCAGGGCTTCTCAGGGATCTCCCTCACCTAGCAGAGGGGAACACAGATGATAATGGCTTTTCCCATGTTCTCTGACAGCAGAGGCTTCAATCAGATCTGGATGCATTTATATTTCATTTATAATGTGTGCATTTTAGAACTGTGGGAATATGATTTGCCTAAATGACAGAAAATGATTTTATATTTAATTTGTCTAGGTGCCACACACAAGAAAGAGGGTGGGTAGGGAGAAGCACAAACACCCACAATTCTCTTCACCAAAATGTTCAGATTGAAAGGGCCTGATTTCCCAGTATAGCACAGAGAAGACAAGCAGTGACTCTATAGCATCTTATTACACTGATAGGCAGTGACTGCAATGGGGTGTGGGGGGAATTGATAATATGGGTGAATGTTGTAACCACAATGTTGCTCATGTGAAACTTTCATAAGATTGTATATCAGTGATACCTTAATAAAAAAAAAAGGAAAGGCCCTGATTTCCCATCACTGGGGTCTCATCCTGGGTCATGTTGAGACATGCCTGTAGGATTTGGGGACAGCAAAGAAGCGCCAAAGAGGGCCCTGACAGCACATGAGTCCCCTCCCTGGGAGGCCTAACGCCCAAGGGCAAAGGATTGGCTTCAGGGGGCCGTTCATTCTCATGATGGGCCGGTCATTTCCATGCTGTGACCCCAGTTCCCCCGCTGGTGCTCCCAGGACATCAAGCATGGCTTTCCTTCCTGTGGCAGTTTTTGTTGGCTTTGTGAGAAGAGGAAGACTTCAGGTCTGGAGATGCTGTTTAAATGAATGAGGAGGGTACTGGGAAGCAAGGCTGGGTGGCATTGCCCAGGAACTGTCTTGCCCTAATGGAGGAAACCGCCCTGGGATCAGAGGTGAGCCTGTAACCGAGCAGTTCATCACAGTTAGAAGACTGAAGATTTATCTGCTGTCTGCTGCTTGAGGAGACCTGAATGAAACACTGGCCGCATGAGGCTAACTAGACAGGAGACCCAAGGCTTCTGGAAGGGAGCTGGGAACTTTCAGATAAAAGTCAGTGGTTACACCGGGGCAATAATTCTGTCCACTAAACCAGTCAACATGCTGGGTACAGGTGCAGTCACAGATGGTGTCTAGCCCACTCTAGAAACAGTTTCAAGTGACTTAGTCTCTCTCTGAATGCTTGTGGTCTGGTCTGCGCCTGTGTAGCCTCCATAATTGCTGTTACCTCTGTCTTACACTTACAGTGGCTGCATTCGTAGGACACTTGGATGTCATGT